GCCTTGGAATCCTAGACCCGCCACTGAACAATTACATATCTTGGGAGCAGAGAACAATGAACAAAAATGTCGCCTTTTCGCATGGATTGCACAGCTGAGAGGTAGAGGAGCCGAGCCGTAGGGTGTGGAGAGGGAGGCGGAAGAGCCAGTAAAATATTAAGTCATCCACTATTTTGCGCAGTTCGCTGTTTTTGGTCCCACTTGTTAAAAAATCCTGGCTACGCCACTGTTTTTGGGTGTTTTCTGATCATTATTATTATGTGATTGAAAATAGGAGATTTGGGGATATTTTTTGGGACAACCAGAAATTGTTGCGGACAACCCGATTTGATGCCGGGGTTGTCCGCAGGACAACCACCTTTTTTTTCTTATTTCGAGCACTGATTTTATAAAAAAGACATTCACATTAACATAATTTAAAGGCCTATACTTCATAATCTACGTATTTATTTCTTGTTATTGCAACGTTTCATAAAAAAGAAATTAAATTGGTGAGTTAGTTGCATATTGGTGACCTTTTTATACATTTATGAATAAAACAACATATGATTTTCAACTATTAAATCAACATTATTCATTATAGATAGCTAAATGATTGCTAACTTTAGCTTTCTAAGATTAACTATAAGCTTAGATTACTATATTATTCTATAACTCTAAGATTAGCTAATCTTGTTATGTGATATCATCTAAAAAATACCTTTTTATTTCTGTTAACACAGAAGAAATATGCACTCTCTGTTCCAAGGAAAGGTGGTCCCCACCTCCTTGTGTCATCCCCTTCACCTAAAAGATGGTGATGTAACATTCTGACAATATAAACTACCACTTATGGTACGTTAAGGTTATTTAAACAATCACAGAACCTGTGCAAGAACCTGACTCCTTTGACAGCTCGAAAATTGGTCTAATTACAGGCCACTGAAAACTAAAACTTATATAAACCATCAGCAAGTTGTCTATTAACTCTAACATAGTTCAGCAATTCTACCAATTTTACCTGGCTTTTCTACCTTGAGTATCTCAGCTCCCAAATCACCTAGAATCATTGTGCAAAATGGACCTGCCAAAATTCTGCAATAAAGTAATAGGGAAATAGGACTTCTAGTTTAGTAAAGATTACTAAGTTCTACTTATAACGATTAGTATAGAAGTTTAATAATTCTGTATTATTGTTAAAACGTCATTACAACTATTCATCTACTCTTCATATGGCAATATAAGCACTTTTTTCTTTCCTTAAATAAGGTAATAAAAAAGTTACATCTCACTGATCACTGATGCCAAACCTACAGTACAGTAAAAACCCGCGTATAAGAACCTAGATTTTAAGAACCTGTTAGGCTAAAATTTCCCATTTAGACCCCTTTAC